GCGCGCGGGATGAGGCGGTCAAATAGGCACCAAGAGTAGCAACCGCCACGCCAGCCACGCCGTCCGCTGTCAGTCATGCCGAGTCAACACAAGCCCTGCCCCCGTCCCAGCCCTGCCGTCCTGCATGGTCCCGTTTGCCCTGCCCTCAGCCCGCACCTGCTCGCGCTCCCTGTCAGATCCGAACCTCATGCGGTGCTCCTGCGCCGCCGCGCCCGCCGCCGCCACCGCCGCGGGGCCGCCGAGGCTGCGCACGGCGTGGTGGGCGGCCAGCAGCGCCTGGCCATGGTTCGGGTAGGCCCCCGCGTCGAGGACGGAGCCGTCCTTCATGTGCACGCGCCCACTGTAGGTGGGGGCGGACTCGGGGGTGGCGCGGTGGGGCTCCATCCCCTTGTACATGTGCTCGATGGGGAGCTTCTGCGGTTGTGATTGCGATGCGGCCCACGTCGCGTCAACTTCCGGCGGCGGCAGCGTAATAGGTACGTGGCAACCTCAAACCAGGGGGCGCAAGAGCCAGCGCGTACAGAACGCGCTTGAGCGCATTGGCGCGAGCACCCCGCCCACGCAATCGCGCGCTGCGCTTTGGCTGGTGCGTCAGGGCGTCTGTGCGCCTCACTGATGATCGGATCTGAATGCGCCGGCAACGAAGAGCACGGGGATGCCGGCGGGCGCGTCGAGCCTGCATGGGTGGCCTCACCAGAAGCATGCAGATGATTGGCCTGTAGAGGGCCTGCAGCTCGTCCTGGTTGACCTCCTCCCAGCCGCGCCCCTCCATGTACCTCGCCACGTTCCTCACAATGTCCGTGGTCTCAAGGACGCACACCTCTCCGGACACTGTGGGGGTGGCCGCGACGGAGCAGGGTGCGGTGCGCGGTGTGGCGGATGCAGTGCGAGGCGGCCTGCCGCCCGCGCCGCAGCCCTTGTGTCCTGACCACATCAGTTTTGGCGGTATGGCAACGCACTATTAGCGGTCGCACACGGAATCTGCTGATGTTTTGGTCAAAGCAGCAACAGATTATGCTCCAGCGTGGTGGAGCCGTTGCTGTACTCACCTACTATCCAGACACTCAGGTCTCCCCCCTTTGACACGTGGCAGACGATGGCGTGGTAGAGTGTGTGCAGGAAGCCGACGCTCACTGCAACCACCTGCCCGACCACCAGGTGTCCCCTCTCCAGTTTGTCGTAGACGTGGCTGCGAAGCCCCGAGAGAACGTTGCGCGTCCCGGGCCTGACACAGGCTGGCGCCAGCTGTGTCCTAAGCTTTGTGGCCACCTTATATTGGTCATATATCTGCAGGGTCCAAGCGGCGGGGCAAAAGGGTTGAGGTTGCGGTGTCACGTGGCCGCACCACGCACTCTGGACTAGCAGGTTGTGAGGCGCGCACAGTATGTCGATGGCAGCGAGCTGACACCTTCTGCAGCGCCGGGCGCGCAGCGCACCGCGCGTGCGAGCGCAAGCAACCGCAATCATGTCACACAAGTGAGGTTGTACTGCTTCGCACATCCAATCACCTGAAACGACTTGTAGCTCAGCACACACACGTCAGGCACATCCGCAGCAGCCATGCTGAGAGCGAGGCACATGGCGCTGTTGTGCCGAGGGCCTGCGCTGGGGCCATGGTAGGCCCAAACGACTTCAGGACGAGCCATCAAGCCAAACGAACGCCTTCGACCACAGGCAGGTCAATCGATTGACCGAGTTTCCAGGCGCACTTGTTTTTGACCATCCGCATACCGTATATGTAAAATATATAACAGACACAAACACGGAATTGTAAAGCAGCACACCTAAAGCCGCAGCGTTTGACGCTTTTACTCCAGGTTGGACCCGCTACCTTCCCGCTTCCTTGCTGCCATCAATCCATTGCGCGCACGACCGCATCATCAGTCGCATACAGTCATAATGCGTTCCTTTCAACCAAATAATATTCAATGAATTACATGCCTGTGTTCTGAGCGAAACCAGGAAACACGCCTTCGCGCAGACTCCTGACAGGGATCCGTCGACTGCAAGTTTTTTGACAAAATGTAGTGGTGAGTCATTGCGACCAGCTGCGTCTTGAGCACGAAGACACGTGTGTCCTAGTGTACTGTAGGCATGGCTCGCCTTCACAAAAGCTAGGCTGGCTTTCATTGAAGAATCCTATGAGGTACATACCGTATGTCAGACCTGACACGCCAGGCGCAGCAGTTTGCAGCACGTTTTAGCAGCTCCCTGGGAGGGAGCAGGTGCGCCCTACGCTCATGTGCGCCTTTCGTCACCAAGACCAGCCTGTTTGCCAGGTTATGGCAAAGATGTGTAAGGGCCTGCGAAAAGCTCACATGGCAAGGGTAAGACAAGGCTGCGACCTCGGCATTGGCTGGCCTGATCTGGGTGCAAGGCACCGGTTTCACAGGAAGGCCTAGGGGCAGCACAGGCACAACGCAATCAGCGGTGTCTGTCGGCCGAGCGCCGTGGCGCTGGTTCGGCTGGGCGCGCACGCCCCCCCTTGGGGAGGACAGGCCGCCCAGCAGCGCCACCCACATCAGGGTGGCGAGGGCCAGTGACTGCCCGCGCTGTGAAGCCGGCAGGCGTGCAGCCTTGCGGGGGCGGGCAGCATTCAGCAGGCAGCCGGCTGGCTTGGGCTGGGCAGTGGAGTGCGGGTGCGGGTGTGGTGGGGAGCAGGGGCAGCAAGCAGGG